AAAAAAATTAAAAAAAAAAAAAAAAAAAAAGCAAACTATGTTGTTTTGAAACTGCCTGAAACTGGGATTTTACAAAGTAGCTTTAAAAACAACAGTACCTTAGAGAACCACAATTTTTGGTCAAATGTCCCATAGTACAATAAGACTGCAAATCCTCTCAGCATTACATGTGCACAAACAAGTAGAAGAAATTAGTCCTTATTATTGTTCTTCATCAAGTTACTACATGAAATGCAACATACCTTTGGGTTTCACTAAAAGATGTCTTCCCCCCCCCCATGAACCCCTTACACTCACAAAAAGGGCCTGAAGATTTTGATGCTGGACGTTAACAGTTACAGCATAAATATATTATTTTCTGAGTGGGACAATCAAAGTTCATGACTGTTTATTTGTGGTTATTAACAGATGTTTTCACATGGAAAACTAGATTTCACTGAATTAGTAATGTTTGTGTCTTTTCTTGTGACTAATCCAAAAAAATTCAAAGGTTGTCATTGTAATCATCTTTCTATTTGAGTTCTCTGAGGTCCAGAGATATTCAGAAGTAATCACATTTACTTCAGAGTAGTGTTTAACTAAAACCAGTTGATCAGAATCTGGTCTTTCTGGTTATAGTTTTGATTTTGCAAATCCCCAGTTAACAGTGGAGAGCTGTGCTGTGCCATCTTACTATCTAAGGTAGATGTGACAGGAAAGGAAAAGAACGTTGTGTCAGCCACCACCTAAGCAAATATGCCTGTAATCTCCCTGTGATGGAAGACAAATATTTTTAAAAGTGTTCAAAAAAGCAGAAAATTGAAATAATGATGTTTTAAAGCATTAATATCCCTGTAAAGCAGGACTATTGGAATCTACAGTAAATTCTTCAGCACAGAAATTTCATCACTCAAAAACCCTTCTTTTTTGCATAAGACTTAGTACAAAGCACTTATTTCCAGATCATAGATGGTTAAACACAAGAAAGTATAAAAGGTACTGTTGGAATTACCTTCTGCAAATAAATACATGCAGAAACCAAATCCTCTAACTGTGACATTTGCAAGTTCTCGGTCAAGAGGAGCATGGTATAGTGTATATGCCATCTCTCTATTCACTCTTCTGTGCTTTAAGAAGCAATTTAGTTTTATTTGTACGTTTAGCACTTGTAGCATTCTTCTCTTATGAAGCAGTGAATTAATGCTCCTTGCATTTCCTGATGGAAGACATTCTGTGGGGTCACCAATGGCTTCAGGCACTGAGAGCTGCAGTAGCACATATTCAGAAAGATGCCCATAGCTGTAGAAGGTTTGGATTGGGCTGTTTGGTTTACCTTTGACAAAGTAGAAAGGTTTTATATAAAGCACCTACAGCATAGCAGAGTGTACATTGCACAGGTAGATTTCTGGAGGGCACAGAGCATTTGGGAAAAAAAACCAAAAACAAACAGAACCAAATAAACCTTTCTGCAACAGGAGGTTTATGTTAAAAAAAAAAAAAATAATTATTCAGCAAAGGCAACAACTTAAAAAATAATTTGTTCATTTCCTAATTAATGGTTTTCCTTCTCATCCACACTTGTACTCTTTTCTTTCAACAAAGAAACAGATGTGCTGCATAGGTAGGCAATAGAAAGTGCACAGATTTTATTTACATACTTCAGCAAACTACTTTTTTCTCAGCTGCCAACCTATCTGTTGGCCAGCATCCACTGTAATCTGTTCTCCTTCATTATGTTAATCTGTGGGCGGAAAGATTTCTGTCATCTTCAAATCGCTTGTACAGCAATGGTAAACACCTTGGCCTGTCTGTAATTGGACAGGTGTCTGCATTGGTGTCACCCGGCTTTTAATTCAATTAAAGAACTGGCTGCTCTGCTCTCATTACCCACTCATTTCCTCTGCACTTTTAGTCAGTCAGTGAAATTTACACTTGGTGCCTGACTATCTTAGAGTACAAAGTCAGCAGTCCCATAGCAAAGATCATCGCTGATACACGTGAATTAATTTTTATAACACAGCAAAATAAATTTTGCAATTAAAAATAGCCTACAATCCAATGAAGTTGGCTGACAGCTTTAAGAAACTTTCCCTTACTCCAGTTATCACATTCTCAGACGGGCATCTCTTGTCTATACCAAATAATTGTTGATCTGATAAGAGTGCACCAGGCTTTCCAAGACAGAGTGCTAACAAATTTGGCCACAGCCACACTCGCATATATTCTATTAATGTTAACAGGAGAGAAGTAGATAAATTGTCACTTTGATCAGGAGATAGAATTAGAGGCATCATCAATATTTAAGAAGAGGGTCAGCCTCCCACATTTGGGATATGAGTACCCTTCATTCAGCCTGCCACTACAGAGCAGCTGAATCCATCTAGACTTAAAATTTACATCATAGACTGTGTTCCAAGCCTTAAAATCCACATGGGGAATCAGGGACAGTAAATCATTCTAACACACCACTCCTATCTGCCCACTCAAAGAACCTGTGGAAATAAATTAAAGTTCTAACACAGACATTTTGACACAGTGACCCCATGAAACTGAATAATGTCATTTGTTAAATATGAATGTAAAGTTAACAGTCTAAAAGAGTGATCTGGAATCACACCTAGAACATTAAGCCCACTTTATATGCAAAACTAGTATTTAATTTTCTATACTTTTATTTAAATGTTCTTTAATTATTTGCAATTTTAAAGTTGAGGTTTAGAGTTGTGTCAGAGAGAAAACGCTAGGTTCATTCTTGCAGATAAGGGATAAAAACATTGACATGGACAGTAGAAGAGGGTCAACAATGAATTTACGGTAAAATGGACATGTGGACTAGTCAGAGTTAGTTGCATCTTTATATCCAGTCCATACATCATTCTAATACATACAGTATATAAGAAGATTAAATATCCAGCTTCCTTCACTTCTCCATAAAACAGACAATTTATTTTGTTCAGTACATCTAAAAAGGAGGTCTCATATATTTAGGTAGCTCAGGCAGATTCCACAAGATTCTGAATGATTTTGAGTGGAAAAGTGGTACTTCTCATCAAGGAAAAAACCTGGTTTACCACTAAAGTATGAGGACTAATGTTCTGTTCACAAACACTGAAAAATAGATTCAAAGTCAATTATAGTATTTTAGCAGTTTCTTCATCCAGTTAAAAGACTTTTATGAAAGCACCTGCTTCACTGTTCCAATCTGTCATTCTGCTTTTTCAGAAAGTCACTTCAAAACACCACCAGGTCTTCAGAGATGAAAAGACACCCTTGCTTATGGTAACTTATGGAACTTTTACTCTTAACGATGAATTGATTAAACAAATATAAACTGAGATGAGTTTTTTACATTTATTGAAGGAGCCTTCCCATAAAAACAAAACTATTAAATCCACTTGCCTAAACACATAACTCACACAAAAAAGCTATTTAATCAAACAGATGTAACACAAATATTAAAGTTCTTTTCCTCACTTCCACAAAAAAATGTACTCAGTTAAAATAAGACAATTTTGCAAAGCCAGTTCAATTTTTTCTTACAGGTAAATTTAGCTAATTTTAATCATAACCAGGCATTATGTTCATATGCAGCCTGAAAGCTCAGATCTGCTACTGAATATCAAGATTCCGGAAGTCAACCACAGAGCTTACCCACACAAAATCCATTTGTTTCACAAGCTGAGTATATTTTTTGCCAAAGGGATTTTTCCTTGCCAGATTTTTTTCATGGTTTCCTCCCTAACACTCTACTTCGTAAGGACCTATTTTGAAATACACATAGTGCAATTGAAACAACACTTGACCTTATAGATTTACTTTAGTTCTTGTTTAAGCTCTAAAAACGAAAAAAAAAAAAAAAAATTACCAAATCCTCCCCTTCCCCAAACCTAAAGACTATTTAACCAACTTGAATGCCTGAGGTTGTACAGCATCTGTCCAACAAAGTCACTTGTGTGTCGAGATGCATCATTGCCACAGTGCACTTAATCACAGTCCACTGA